GAGTGAATGTTCAGATAGTGATTTTTCGCTTCGTTTCAAGTATACTCTTATGACATTCGAGACAAACTCTTTAGCTGATATTTTCTTACTATGCACTAAATTATATAAGACCATACAATTAATTAGTGATGATTGTATAAACCTACAAAACATAGGCCATGTCCACTTTTTACCATGAATAGTTGGTCGAAAATCACTGCAATGTTGATCATGAAGATCAACACCTCCCATAAACATATTATAAATTATAAAAACCAGAGGAAACTCTAGTGGAATTTTTTTTTTATACTTTTATCAGTTCTTTCCACTTCAGATCGTGGTGTAACACAGCTTTCAGTTGAAATGATAGAAACATTTTTAGAATCCTTTACTGTAACATAGTTTATGCTACTATTTACTTCGTGAGTTACTACATAAGTACCACGCTCAGATTTTTTATCGATGGTATGTTTTTTTTTTTAAAGTATCAAGTTCGAAAACTACTTCTTGTTTGTTAGCTTTCTGTTTTGTTTGCTTGTCTGCTTTCAAAGTTGATTTTTTCTTTGTTAGATTATTTATTTTGTTTTTTACATTTTTTGCATTATTTTTTTTCGTTGCTTTCGTATATTTTTCTTTTACTTTTTTAGCTGTTTGTTTTTTAGCTGTTTTTTTTTAGCTGGTTGTTTTTTAGCTGTTTGTTTGTTAGTCAATCTTTTAACAGTTTTAACTTTATTTGAAATTAGAGACTTTGTTTTTCTTTTATTTTTCTCTTGATTATAAGCTAATAATTCTTTGAACATATCTTTAGTAAAAACTCGCTCGTCTCTTACTGTCCCAGTTGCTCTGAGACCATGTTTTTTCAATCGTACGAGTAAATCAGGTGAACTAAAATAATTGTCAAAACTGACGTGGTATTTCAAAATTTCATCTGCCGACTTTCTCTGAAAAAATTCTTTTAACATTTTTATCACTACTCTAGAACCCAAAGCACATTTTTCTTCGCTACTTGAATCGTGACCACAGTAAACATCAAAATGTAATAAATATCCCTGAATAGTACAAAGCTCCCAAAGCTTTATTCCAAATCGTACAGGTTTATTTCTTATTAATTGTTTGAGTACGGTACGACCAAAAAATTTAACCATCATCTCATCGATCGAAAGGGCAGAACAAAAAAAATCAAATTGCTGAATATTTTTTCGAAAAAAGTTTATTATTTTTCTGACTCTCCATACTCTATCTGCATCATTTCTATCTTCTTTTTTATTCATTTTAAATTTATTTTTTATATTTTCAAAATTATTACGCGACATGGTTTCAGAAACTGTATCGGAATGGTACAAAGAATCGTTAGACCAATAATCCCTATAACATTTACGACTGTTGATAATAGAAAACATAACTATCCCAATGAATTTATTCAAATCATCAGTATCAATATCTAAATCATTTTCAGCACTTGCTTCAATTATATAATCTTTTATTTCATCTGAAAAAAATAACTCAAACAACTCATCGCATGTTTTTTCACGCAAATTACTTTTTATCTCCTCATCCAAAAATATTTCTGATTTTGGTATCGAATCATAAAATTTTTCTCCATCTTTCCATACATACTCATGTGAAGGTTCTAGTTTTTTATTTGAAGAAATGAGGGTATGTCAACTATTTGATACCCTTCTGGACAATTGCGTCCTTTAATTATCTGAACACTGTCAGCTGAATCGTTTTCATTGTTTGATTCATCTCCACTTCCAATATCATCAGGAATCACAGCAACGTTTCTAAATAAACTTTCGGGTAAATTAGAAAACGTTTTATCTGTTCCGTCAACATGATCGGAATCTAAATCCATAAGCTCAGTAGTTTCAACAGTAATGCTACTGTCGGATTGCTTTGCGTTTTTCTTTGGCATACTTTATACCAGATGTTATTTTGTAAAGTTATTCAAAATTATAATATTATGAGGTTCAAAAATATTATAATAAATCAATCGCAGTAGTAGTCGAAGTTTTTATATAAATTATTATTATTGTAATACAACAGTAATATAAATTTTGTAGTTTATTTTTTTTAAGTATACAAATTTGCGGAAAATATCGGGTACCTATATGGATTTAGGATTGCAGATTTTACTGCAAGTACAAAAAAATGACTGTTCGACACCTAGCGGCCGTTTTATAAGTGAAATATGATTTGAAATAATTTTATTGTAACTTTTATTATTTAGAAAATTAATGAATGCTAAACCTGTGGATTTTCGCTAGAAAAAATATATTTATAAAATAAATTAAGTTTATCAGCCATTTCGAATGCTCGATATTGATTTTCGGTGCAAGAATTTTCAAAAATCAACACCAGATATCAAATCAGCACCCTCAAAAACACAAAAAATATATGTTTTTTCATTTTCCTTCATTTTTCAGAATTTTTCAATTTTTCGTCCGCTATTTTAAATTTTGGATTTTCAAAAATATCAATAATTAATCGATAACAGAAGTCCTACAACCATACTAATAGTGAAATAAAATTGTTTAGTAGGTATACGTTACATACTTTACTCGAAAAAAAAAAGGAAATTCAGTTAAAATAAAAAATGAAATTTTTACTAAGTTTGAGCCGCCATATTGTTTTTGGATCGCAAAATTTTGAAAATCTGTTTGCAGATTCGGAAAGAGCAAGTCTTTTTGCTTCGGAAATGGTATTTTGCATGTCGATTTCAAGCGATTCTACCCATTTTACAAGACGATAAACCAATCGATAGTCTCATGGTCGATTGGGAAGAAATGGGTTAAACTCGTAGAACATACTAGCGTCTTTCGTTTTTCAGTTTAAACAACAGAATTTGAATTAAAAATTAATTTTGAAATTTGCAAAATTTTCAGTTGTTTGTGATGGCCAGCCATAATTATCGACAGTTTTAATAGTGTATATATATATTGCAACGATTAGCGTAAATCGTTAGACTCGCGCGAGGTTAATGAGCGGCTGATCGAGAAAAGCCGCGATCGGTTCGCGAGAGAGAGAGGGCGCGTAGGGGCAATGACCGGGAGGGGAGCGTTCAACAGGCAGTATGACTGTGTCACTCAGTCCGCCTGTGTCGATCTAACCTTTTGTTCCCGAGCCGTTTTGAAGTTTTCGTGTGGTGGTGCTAAGGCGAACAGTGCGAACTTTGGTGCGGTGTGCTGGGTGCAGCAGCAGCAGCAGTAACAGCAGCAGCAGCAATAGCAGCAACAGCAGTAGCAGCGACAGCAGCAACAATAACAGCAGCAACAGTAATCGAGGCGGTGCGGCAAGCAGCGAAGCAGCTTATTAGCAGCGTGTTGATCGGATACGGTTGGCCACCGTATCCTCATCGTCCTTGCGGTAGGTGCACCTTCCCCTATTATTGTTATAGCAAGCGATCCCGCGCAGCGTGCGCGAGGAAGTTAATTGTTGCGTGCGAGCGGTTAGTTCGCGGTGATCGCGGTTTTCTCTCTCTCACTCTCTCTCTCATATTGCGTAGATTGTCATTCGCGCAAACGTGCGCAAGACTCTCGGCAGATTCCTCGTGTATTTGATCTGATCGAATAAACCGATTAATAGTTTTAAATAAACGAGTCATCGTTATTTGTTCTTTCCTTTGTCCGGAGGTCGCTAGTGTTTACATTTCATTCGAATTCGCCGGTAGCGTAGCACGGATCACGCGGATACCGGTAGACTGGAATCGTCAACTTAGTTTCCAGCAACGGCCGCGCGAGCGCTACTAGGTAAGGGCGACAGCGCCGCCAAGCGGTGAGTTGGGGGAACCCAACTCGGAATAGTGAAGAGACTCTGCGCAGGCGCACTCCGAGACAAGGTAGGTTGATGTGCTTCGAGCACATAGATAACTAGGCGTCGTCTAGTCTTAATAAAGGTACATTCCAGAGATTATAGACTAAACGGCAGCCTGTTACAATATATATATATATATATATATGGGACGATCCATGTCAACCGGATCACTGCTGTGTCCAAAATTTGATGTGACCAAAAAAATCGTGCAACGACTCAATTTAAAGCTTAGGATATCTACTTTCTGATGCTGTGTGCGCCTTTGCAAAATCCAACATGGCGGCTTCAATATGGCGGCTACAAGAGACAAACTCGTAAACAAAAAATTTTATTTTTCAAATTTTTAGTAATAAATGTTAAAAAAATTAATATTTCATATTTTTTTATGAAAATCTGGCTCATTTCCTACAAAAAAGTAACAGAGACTATTTTCGCTAAAATGAAAAATAAAAAAGTTATAATTTTTTGAAAATTTTCAAAAATAAAAAACTTTGCGATTTTTTTACTCAGAAAGAAATGACTTTGGAAAAAAAATTTAAGGAACAAAATTGCTTGAAATTCATCGAAACACAAGTGTGAATTTTTTCGAATTCCTTTGAGCGATGTTTTTGAATTTTTGTAAAAGATCTTGGGAAGTTTTTTAATTTTTCAAACAATCCGATAAATCCAAAAAGCAAAAACGGTAACGGTACATGTTCGGGAAAGAGTTTCTCGTCTCGTATCCCTTTCCACCCTCACTTCGCTCAGGCGTAAACGCCATACGAGACAAGAATCTACTTTCCCGCACTTGTATCGTAATGTACTATTGAATCTTACATATTCGATTTCTATTGATCGATAAGTATAAAAAGGTATTTATGTTTATTATAAAAGCACTCAGTCAATGTTTTTGCAAAATTTCAAGAAATTCATTGAGAAAATTCGGATTACAGTAACGTCACGCTTCTTATCTGGTCAAAGTTCTGAGCATATATTCCTACACATTTACATATAGATGAGGCGGCAGTGCACGATTGATATCATATCAATGAAAATTTTAGGTGGTTGTTGAGTTGTAATTGTGTAGGAAAGAAAAAATCAGACTGGACCGTTATAATTGAGAGGTAACGGATGAAGGGAAAATCACTAGCAAAGCGCTTTTTCTCGTTACAATATATTAGATAAATATTTTAATTATAAATGTTAGTAAAATATTCTGAATTACTTACTATTCGCTCGTCCTCTAAATGCTCAGGGAATTCTCTTTTTACGATATCAGCATACGCTATTAATACTTTTACTATTGTCTTGGCAAATCTTTTCATGTATCTTTTCCAAATTTCTGGATCAGGACACTCAAGTTTTGAGACAACATCAAAACATTGCGTTAACTGGGTGAATACATCAACAACGGATACACTGAATAAAGCATGTTCACTGCTTCTTTGAAACTAAAAGATGAATACACATTTTACAAATTATCTTATAATAATTGAATTCCTGTAAATATCATATATCCTTACACCATCTTTTTTATCCCGGCTGAAGGCACCATGTAAGTATTCTAAAGAGACGTCATCGTTTTCATTCAGCCATTGCATAACGAATGGTTCAAACCAAGCTGGATATTCGGGAACTTGACCTTTATATGGAGGGACATCTTGTACAAAATTAGTATATAGCCATTTAACTTTAAAATGAAGATTCATATAAGCAGATGATTTACATGATCTACTTTGTTCATGTTCATCAAGTGCATCTTTTACATCGATTGCGAAAAGCGACCAAACCGTTGCAGCAGATAGCTGACCGATATTGAGTTCTTGTGGAAATTGGTTGAGTACAGGAGCATAACTATTACGGTCTTCTTCAATTACAGAAACTATGAGAGCAATCAGTTTATGCCAGAAATCAAGTGAGGCAGGAGAGTTTTCTTCATCTCGACGAGTTTCATTTGGATCAACTTGAAATTCTCTGTTGTAGAGTTCGTAGCAATTCTGGAAAAGAAACTGATAGGTTGATTTCAGACAAGCTATCACACAATCTTTTACGACATTACTAGCTCTTGGAGGAGACGTTAATTCCTGTACTTTCATGCGAAAAAATGTTATACTGGTTAATAAATCAACTGTGGACTTTAAATCCATAAGCTTCTCTTGACTAGAAGCTGGGAAATTATTTCGGTACATGCATAAATCAATTCTTAATGAGTTGTGCAACTGATCTAATAGCTTTACAAATTTTTCTTTCTGTAAAAAAATATTTATATTTTTTAATATATCGAACACTATAAAATTATAAATATTATAATAAATTAATTAAATATATTATTGTTATTTGTTCACTGTTTATGGTCAAAAAATTAATAAATATAAAATTTAGGCAATAGGTAAAGAGTCCCAGACGGACCTCAAAAGGGAAGTCTCAATACGTGTCAAGTCTGTCATAACGCGTCATAACGCGCACATCGTAAAAAGAAAACATGTCTCATGAATCTTTCGGGTCTCGTAGATAATCCTGTGAAAAACATCGACATTTTAAAATCAGTGGGAATCCAGCTGAACAAATGAGCAGCCAATCATTCCGATTTGTTGCCTTCGCGATCCCCGCCAAGTAATGAGTCAAAGATATCGATCCTAATAACATCGTGAAAACTCTCGAAGTGCATTGGAATCAATTCCTCGACGTATATAGCTTGATCGTAAAAATCACGAATACGATCAATGAAATGAAAAGATCTGATTATTTGCATATTCCACTTGACGTACTTGCATTTATTGCCGTAAATACAAAAATATCAATCATGCAAGATTTATGGACAGGGAAATACGATTCGGATGAATCGTTATTTTTTGACATTCGAGACCTTTGGCATGACTATTGCTAATCGCTTTCAACGCCTTACACACTGTCCACTGATCGTTGACTCCATTTGTCAAAGCAGAACCCCTTTGAGATACATGGATTTTCCGATATTTTACCACGTGCATACGCTGTCATGTTTTACTTACGAATCTATGACGGAAACAATAAATCCTATATTTTACTGTTTATAGCAAAACTGAAAGTCGCGTTCGTAAAGACTGCGGGCATTCCGAACCTTGAGCTATACAGTGCAACTCTTCTGATTAAGCTTGCCAAGCATCTGCAAAAATAGAAGTTTCTGCATAATTCGCCCATTAAATTGTAGTCTTACAGCCATATTGTTCTTACGGAGCTACAAGTAAATAAGCATCTGTGTAGATGAAAAATCTTCGTCGCTAATCGCCTTTCATTAATACAAACTGAATTGCCTTCTACAACATAGACCCATGTACCCATGAAGCACAACTCAGCTGACCTAGCTATCCACGGTGCAATGCCCGACAAGTAGTACATGAATGCCTGTGGTGATCTGATCTGATGTAGATGCCTAATCATCTGATCAATGACCTCAGTTATCAAAGGCTCCTCAAGTACGTGGGTCGTTTGAAAAGTCCGTGCAAAGTCAGAGAGATGGCGCTACTAGTGTGTATCAAGATTATTTCAGGTAGTGGCATATCAATTACTTTGTGTTTTACATTCGTTTCAATCAAAGAAATCGAGTGGTTGTAAAAAAATGGACGAAAAAGAATTTCGTGTATTGATTAAACATTACTTTTTCAAAGGCAAAACGCCTCAGGAGATTAAAAAGAAGCTTGATAAACATTATGGTGATTGTGCACCTTCGATTAGAATCGTTTATAAGTGGTTTCAAAATTTTCGGAGTGGCCATATGAGCACAAAAGACGCTGAACGTTCTGGACGCCCTGTTGAGGTTACCACTTCAGAAATCATTGATAAAATCCATGATATGGTGATGGCTGACAGAAGAGTGAAGGTGCGTGAGATTGCTAGTACTGTAGGCATCTCGAGCGAACGGGTACATAATATATTGCACCAACATTTGGATATGAAAAAGCTATCCGCTAGATGGGTGCCGCGATTGCTCACGATTGACCAAAACAAGATTGTGTGAAGTGTTGCAAGAATGGTTTGCAGCTGTTCCAGCAAAATCCGTAAGACTTTAAGCGTTATTTCATCACTGTAGATGAAACATGGGTACATCACTACACTCCTAAGACCAAAGAATAGTCTAAATAATGGGTTACCAAGGGGGAATCTGCTCCGAAAAAGACGAAGACAATTGCTTCGGCCGGGAAGGTTATGGCGATTGTCTTTTGAAATTCGCAAGGAATAATCTTCATCGGCTATCTGGAAAAGGGTTAAACAATTGCAGGCGAATATTATTCATCGTTATTGGATCGGTTGAAAACCGAGTTGCTAGAAAAACGTCAACGATTGACCCACAAAAAAATCCTCTTCCACCACGACAATGCGCCAGCTCACGCCTCAGCAGTTGTGGCCGAAAACTGATAGAGATAGGGTTCCAACTATTTTCACATCCCCTCTATTCTCCAGACTTGGCTCCGTTGGACTACTATTTCTTCCCTAATATGAAAAAATGGTTGGTGCGGAAAAGATTTTATTCAAACGAGGAAGTGATTGCAGAAACGAATGCCTATTTTACAGACTCGGACAAATCCTTTTATTTGGAAGGGATGAACAAACTAGAGCAGCGTTGGATGAAGCGTCTAAGCCTAAAAAGAGACTATGTTGAAAAATAAAAAAGATTTATTAAAAAAAATCAAGCAGTTTTTATTTTTGCACGGACTTTTCAAACGACCCTCGTACTATATACCAGGCCGGTCTTTGATATGCTAGAAAGCTTACAAAAATATTCAAGTCGTTGTTCATTTCGTCCAATTCTTGGTCCGTGGTTGTCAAATAGCAGAATATCCGGGCAATAGTTGCTATCTGAACCATACTCAATACCATACACTCAGCGATTATCTTGATCGTTATCTTGAAATCGGATATTATTTAATTTTTTCGATGGCTCTCGCCAGTGGGAGTATTATAATAGTTTCTCCTTTAATAGTAAGCCCATTCCATATAGATTCAACCAGCAAATAAAATCGATGTCTGCGATCTTTTTGAAAATTTGGGATATTAATCTACATTGAATTTCATTAGATACGTGTTTTTTCTTTTGTGCGAAAACCCTTTTTGAAGCCCTGTAGTACTATGACAAAGCTGACAGGATATAAGCGTTATTTTAAATGCAAAAATAACCACTGTGTTTTAAATGGTCGGCATTTTCACCCAAATAATTCTACACAAACCGTTTTTCTTTCAAAATGTGAGTAATTTGAGCAGCTTTCATTTTCTGCATTTAGATTTCGATTATTTTGAAAACTCTTTTTTTAATTAAAAAATCCAAAAAAACTACTTTTTTTTAAAAATCAAATTTCTCAAAAAACACATGTTCGATTTATTTGAATTTTGAATATGATTTTCATGACGTCATAAGCTATCTTTCTGCCAAGCGGAAATATGCCATTTTTTTCCGTTCCCGAGATGTAGCTTTGCAAAGAAAATGACTACTTTCACGTGTTTCAGTATTGTGGGCTATGTGCAAAATCTATATTATTCTTTCAAACAGACGCAATCATCTTGGAGTTTACTAAATAAATGTTTAATAGTAATGCTTGAAAGTGTTATCAACATTAACCGGAATTTAATCAGCTTGACGACTTTATTTTTACGAAGAGTTACGTTATATTATTTTGAAATACGGGGATAAATCGGCGAACAAGGCTCTATTTTGAAAATTGCTTTCTTCAAATACATCACGCTTAATTTCCTTGAATTTTGAATATACGAGTATATTGTTCAGGGCCTTATGAGTTATATGTCCACCGAACGGCACAATGCCATTTTTTCCCGTTAGTGAGAAATGGTCTGCTGATCTTTATGTCATTCAGTGTTTTATGCGCTGTGTTAAAGCATATTGTATTGTTGTATATTAAAATTTCATCGCATATAATTTAATGGTCGAAGGAAAGTCAATTAGAAATGTGTTTAGAAATAAAATTGACAAGTAATAGTTACTAAAAATACATTATTTTGTTTAAAACTATTATTTCACAATCATTTGGAAATTGTTACTTAAATGACGGGTAATAATGGAAATGTAAATAATATTATAATAATAACAGACCGCCAGACGCACTCATTATTGTTCAGCATACAACTTTAAGCCACTCATGCTTGTTCGTTTTTCTCATAGATCGTTCAACATTGGTATTGCCTTCTTTATCTAACTTGCGGATTACCCACCACTTAAGTTCCTTGAATTTTGGATATGTTGCCTTATGAGCTGTATGTCCACCGAACGGCATAATGTCATTCTACCCCATTTGCGAGAAACGGTCTTGCAAAGTAAATGGCGATTTTTATGTGATTTAGCAGTGTATAAGTACTTTATGTACAAATGACAATATGCTTATAGCCAACCACTCTCACCTCGGAATTGTCTAAATCTTAAAATATTATGCCTAAGATTATTAAAATTAGTGCCGATGCGTCGCTTCCCAACTACTGTGACAAAGGGACTATAAAAAAAAATCCGGGCCCGAACACGTTCGAGGAATTAAGACTCCCTAATGACTCGCAGTTTCCGAGCTCTAATCCGACCGCGCCGCTTATCGTTTGGGGCCGTCGTTATTTATGGCAATAAATATACCAACGATTCCTCGGAGCGCAGTACCACCGATGCATTTTACACAAGGTTACAGGCCGTAAAACTAAATATGGCAACTAGGAAACGAACGAGGGTGAGCGTGGGAATAAACAAGTATTTTGGAATAGCCAGTATGGTTTCTTATACTTCTTCATTTTTCTGTCAGCTCTTGAGCAAGCAAGACATTATTTCTGACGACTGGTGCATAGCAACGTTTCTATTATAAATGTTTGTAGTTTGCATGATCGACGCAAATTTATCTGTGTGATTTGGTCAATGTATAATAATTGTATATAATTGTATATTAAAATTTCATCGCATATAAATTAATGGTCGAAGGAAAGTCAATAAGAAATGTGTTTAGAAATAAAATTGATAAGTAATAGTTACATAAAATACATTATTTTGTTTAAAACTATTATTTCACAATCATTTGGGAATTTTTACTTAAATGTCGGGTAATAATGAAAATGTAAATAATATTATAATAATAACAGACCGCCATACGCATTCATTATTGTTGAGCATATAACTTTAAGCCACTCATGCTTGTTCGTTTTTCTCATAGATCGTTCAACATTGGTATTGCCTTCATTATCTGACTTGCGGATTCCTCATCAAATATGACTATCGCGAATGCCATGA